CTCAGTTTTAGCACTGCTGTTGTTTGTCTTTCTGGATTCAGCTGGTCATCAGCTCAAACACACACCTGGTGTGTATCTAGGTCTTGGGTTTGGGCTTTTATACATCACTCCTCCTGAGCTTCGTGTTTGCTCAATTAACAAGAAAATGACTCCAGAACCCCCCTGTGCACGCACGCACGCACACACACACACACAAACACACACACACACGCACGCACGCACACACACGCACGCACACACATGCTGCGACATGCTGCCCCCACCCCTGCAGACTAAACAGCAAAGGGCTAAATGCTCATCCCTGGAATCGTATGCTGTGTGTAGCTCTTCTAACAGGAAGTCCAGAAAGCAAAGTGAGGTTTTCAGCCCAGCTGTAGGTGTCCCCAAGGTCCCCTATGCAGCATGTTTTAGTTTTTTCCCTGCTCCAACATACTTGAATTGCCTGTGCAGCAGCTCATCGGGCTCTGCAGAAAACTGTTGAACACCTGCTGATTAAAATCAGGTGAGTTGAAAAAGGAAACAACTAAAACATGCTGGACAGGGGATCTCGAAGATCAGGGTTGGGCACACCTGCAGTAGAGGGTCTGATTGGGTTAAAGGCTGAAGGCAAGCTGAGTGTTATGTGGTGGGTGCTTCAGAGCAGGAGTGTCCAACCTTGATCTTGGAGGTCCACTACCCAGCATGTTTTAGGCGTTTCCCTGCACCATCACACTAGATGCAGTGGTTGTATCAGCTGCGCAGCAGCTCATCAGGCCCTGCTGATTACAATCTGGTGTGTTGGAGAAGAGACACCTCTAAAATTTACTGGATGGGTCATTGAGGACCAGGGTTGGACACCACTGCTGCGTGATCTAATCAGTTCTGTGTTGGGACAGTTTCATTCAGATTAAAGCCACGGTGGCAAATCTGCTAAACAAATTAGCTTCAACATTTTTCATGCCTCTTAACAACATTTTAACATAGTATACATATAGAGGGAGGTGGAGTGTACAGTCAGTAAAGACAAGTCTCCCTTGCCCTGCCTCCAACATGCCTCCATCTAGAAGGCTAGTTATCTCTGTAGTTATGCTGCTATAGGCTTAGACTGCTGGAGGGCACACTGACCACTTTCCACACTCTACTACTTTCTTTGCTCTTTTCTCTGCTCTTTAACTGTATTGTTTCCTGCTAATCAGCTATTAACTTTATTTTTTCTCTAAGTGTTGTTCTCCCCAGAAGAAGCTACGGTGACGTTCTGCTGAGCTGTGGTGGCCTCATGGAGGGGGCCATCGTCTAGCACACTGCTGCTAACCATTTAATCATTCTCCCTCTCCTGATAATAAGTTTTTGCTTTCCTTGACGTTGGATGTGCTACTACTAGATTATCCGTATAATTATAGATCCACTAGGATAAATACAATAAAGTTTATCTCTCGCCAAATAGAATATTTACTAAGAAACAACAATGTAACCATTGACACATTGCTTGGTGTGTGTGTGTGTGTGTGTGTGTGTGTGTGCATGTGCATGCGTGTGTGTGTGTGTGTGTGTGTGCGTGTGTGTGTGTGTGTGCGTGTACGTGTGTGTGTGTGCTCTGTCTTCTCAATCCCCAGTGAGTCGTGGAGGATGGCTGCTTATACTGAGCCAGGATTCTCTGGAGGCTTCTTCCTGTTAAAAGGGAGTTTTCCTCTCCACTGTCACTAAATGCTTGCTTAGTATGAGGATTGCTGTAAAGACTCTGACACTAGTCAGTGACTCGATGTACTCGACAATTGGCTTAATGAACTGACCTGTAATGGAATGTTTACCATGTGAAGTGCCTTGGGAGGACTCTTGTCGTGATTTGGCGCTATATAAATACACCTGAATATATTGGGGAGATTTTTTTTTAATTTATGAAAAATAATAAAATAGTTTGCTCGCATTTGTCTAGAATCCTCAGCCAGTAACGGTTCAGTCCAAAAGTGGGAGAGGATTTAAAGGTTTTAGAGTCAGCTTTACTCCCTGACCAGAACAGTGACACACAGCCAGAGAGAGTGGTCACATTTTTACAGGCCTTCCTAATGCTCCAGCTAATTAGGTCTGTTGGTGTCCAGCCTTGAGAATGTGAGCCTGGTGTTTAACTTTCATCACTTCTCAGAGCTGATAGGCTGCCTGCCATTACCCAGCATGCCTCAGTCCAGTCACCCCCCCAACCCCCCACCCACCAGTTTAGATCAGGACTCACATAAAAAAAATCTTTTTACTTAGAACCAATCGAGGCAATAACAGCAATAAACGAACCTGTGCACCGAGCCAGCTGCAGCATGTTCAGACCTCAGGACCAACAGCAGGTTCTAAAGAAAAGCCGGTTCCACCACAGTCGCTGCTAGTTCCTCAGCTTCCTTCAGACAGAATCCTCTCTGATCATTTCAGCCGTGGAGATGCTAGCACACTTCTAACACATCACAACCGGGCGCATATGTCAGATGAGGGTCCAGACTGTAGATGTGATCCTGATCCAGCTGAACTTTCTAACAAATCCAGCCAAATGAAGATTTTATGATTACATCCGTGTCCATGTCCGTGTTTCTGCAGATCTATCTGGAGTTTCAAGAGACCATCAAAACTCCAAAAAACTTTGTGAACATTTGTGTTGTTCTCAAAGTTCTTGTCCCACATATGGATCCTCTCAGGTCTGGAAAAAGAAGAGAGTCACTGGAGGGGACAGACAGCTAAACAGACAGATAGACAGACAGACAACTAAACAGATAGACAGGCAGACAGACAGATAGATGGAGCAGTATAAACCTGTCAGATACGTCCATCTTAGCACTGCGTTCACCAGAGGATGTTGGTTCGACTCCCGGTAAGTGCTTTCTGGCAGCAGCAGCCAAACAGGAAGTGATGGGCGGCGTTGAACTCTCAGGCTTTTGTTTTGAACAAGAATTTCCTTTTTCAAAGAATTTCAGTTATTAAACATTGAACGTCTGCTGTTTGTTTACGTTTTGATCGACTGTTTATTTTTCTGTCTAAACAAGACCAAAAATCCACCCAGAAGTAGAGAGAACAGATAGAGAATCAGAACAATGTGGGAAACTGGGTACCAAGTAACTTAAAATGAGTCTGGGACCAGCTGGGCATGAACCCAACCCAGTGAAGGCTGAGTCAGACTCTCAGTCCAGACTTTAATCCAGAACTGGTCTCTACTTCCTGTCTGAGGGACACTTGATATTCAGAGCCGCATCCAACCCTGATTCAGCCGGGCCCCTCAGAGCTGGGATGGAACCAAGCCAATGAGCGGAGAGCTGCCAGATCCTGTCTGATGCTGCTGGGAACTCCAGACCCACCAGAACCTCCTCCTAAGTGAAAAGTGGACCAGAGGCCTAGGATATCTGGAGTCAAACGTGTCAATCCATGACTCTGGAGGATTTCTTCACTAGTGTTCTTCCTTTGGAAAAGTTCAAACCCGAGCCCTGAGTCAGAGTCCTTAGCCAAACATGCAGATGAGCATCATCGCTGGTCCGAGTAAGGTGTTCCTGATGACTACCGTTTACTACTGATTACTACCGTTTACTACTGATGACTACCGTTTACTACTGATTACTACCATTTACTACTGATTACTACCATTTACTACTGATGACTACCGTTTACTACTGATTACTGCCGTTTACTAGTGATGACTACCGTTTACTACTGATGACTACCGTTTACAACTGATTACTACTGTTTACTACTGATGACTACCGTTTACTACTGATTACTACTGTTTACTACTGATGACTACCGTTTACTACTGATGACTACCGTTTACTACTGATTACTACTGTTTACTACTGATGACTACCGTTTACTACTGATGACTACCGTTTACTACTGATTACTGCCGTTTACTAGTGATGACTACCGTTTACTACTGATGACTACCGTTTACTACTGATTACTACTGTTTACTACTGATGACTACCATTTACTACTGATTACTGCCGTTTACTAGTGATGAATACCGTTTACTACTGATGACTACCGTTTACTAGTGATGACTACCGTTTACTACTGATGACTACCGTTTACTACTGATTACTGCCGTTTACTAGTGATGAATACCGTTTACTACTGATGACTACCGTTTACTAGTGATGACTACCGTTTACTACTGATGACTACCGTTTACTAGTGATGACTACCGTTTACTACTGATTACTACCGTTTACTAGTGATGACTACCGTTTACTACTGATGACTACCGTTTACTACTGATTACTGCCGTTTACTAGTGATGACTACCGTTTACTAGTGATGACTACCGTTTACTACTGATTACTACCGTTTACTACTGATGACTACCGTTCACTACTGATTACTACCGTTTACTACCGATGACTACCGTTTACTACTGATGACTACCGTTTACTACTGATTACTGCCGTTTACTAGTGATGACTACCGTTTACTAGTGATGACTACCGTTTACTACTGATTACTAACGTTTACTACTGATGACTACCGTTCACTACTGATTACTACCGTTTACTACCGATGACTACCGTTTACTACTGATTACTACAGGGTCTGCAGATAGAAATTAGCCCAAGGCTATAATCTGGCATATTTACATTTATTGAAATGTTCATTAATATGTATTGACCCACTTCTTAAATAAATAAATAAATAAATACTACCATTTACTACTGATTACTGCTGCTCCTACAGTAGGATGTACCGATGACTGAACCATAGTGAACTTTTGAAAGTGACTGACCACTGAGTCACTACTGGCTGTAAGTACCACTAACTCATTTGACCATTACCAGTCATGAGGTGATTGTTTGCAGTGAACTGGTTGTAATCCGATGATGACTAACATGATGACGTCACTAACCAGCTAAATCTTTAAATCGAACAAAGTTACTGAATGAATCGTTTCTGTAAAGATCAGAAGTCTGACCTATTTGTTGGGATTATTACAGCTAATCTGGATTAAACTGTTTGTATCAGAACTTCTTGTTTTAAACTACTGCGGAATGTCTTCTGCCCCATCAGTGACGTGACGCCAACGCCTTATATGGCCGGGTTCCGGTGTGAGCGGAGGTCTGAGATCACTTTTAAGTCTAACGGCGACAGTAGAGGACTGGACTCAGACACGGACGGGTTCTAGATCCGGACCTGTGACGCAGAACCTGTCAGGATGACCCGGTCAGCGCGTGTCCTCCCGGTCCTGCTGCTCTCCCAGGCTGTCTCCGGTGAGTCCCCTCCCGGTACAAACGCTTGGAACAGAACGGACCCGGTTCCGTGGAGCTGGTTCATTAGAACTCAGACCAGAACCGGGTTGGTTAAAAGGTGCCTACCTCTCGCGCGCGCCTGCGTGAAGTGAATATTTAACTTAATGAGATCAGAGAACAGAACCGCGTTATTAGTTTATCACACAGGAAAATGTTATTTATTTAGTTAGTTAGTTAAACGCTTTAAAGCAACAAGAAAAATGAAAGATTATTTTAAAATACGTAAAGGAGCTGAAACTTAATCCAGATTATTAACGAAAACCCAGATTTGTGTCAAATATCCTTTAAGGAGGATTTCTGTTCCATCCCCGATATCAAATCAAATCAAATCAAATCAAAGCTTTATTTATAAAGCGCCTTCCGCAACCCTGTCAGGAAGCCCAAGGCGCTGAACATGGTACAGTACAAAGTTAAAGAAAGTGAATAAATCAGAAAATAAAAGCAATTCAAATTACAGAGTACAAATTACAAAAAAGGTGCCTTTAACCACGCAGTGATGGAGGTGATGGACTATACATGTACATCATCAGCTGTGTGATGACGTCACCTAGAGGCAGGATGTGGAATCGAAATGTTGAAGGTGTCAGATCTGAAACCCCAGCAGGGTTACCGTTTGAGCTCATGTATTATTCTGATTCGGTAATCTGCAGGGATTAGACTGGGTCCAGCTCCAGGCTATAGAGGAGGTCAGAACCTGTAGCTATAAAGTTACAGGACTGTCAGTGTCAGCAGCATGACCTTGATTTGAGACTGAATCAGTTTGCTCACCACACGTTGGATTGAGTCGTCTGATCACAGACAAGAATTCATTTCAGTTTGTCAGAAGTGGCTTCCTGGCTTCTACAGCGTCTGCTGATCCATGTCAGCATCACCGTTCACCCTCGCTGAGACCGCACATTTTCATCACAGAAACAGTCTCTGCACCACCTTAAAACATGTTCTGGATCCAGACTCAGAGAACCAGACCTTAAGTCCTACTCCAGACATCAGCAGAGCATCACGGTGTTACGATGGTGACGAGAGGATTCTTCAGACAGGCTGGGTGGTTTATAGACTGTTCAGCAGCTCTTAAACCTCCAGAGTTTTGGGAAAGTTTCCTATATTACTTTTCATGAACTGTTTATCGTCCACCATTAGAATCAAACGATCAAACTTTACACTGAATTTAATAATGAAAATATTTTTAATATTTTTATTTATGCAGGGAATTAAGAGGTAAGTTATTATTATTATTATTATTATTATTATTATTATTATTATTATTAAGTAAATACTACTACTACTAATCATAATAATATTAATGCAAGTGAATAATTTACAACCTTTTGTTTAGACAGCTATATTTAAAGTTTCTTTTGTTTACTATTTTTAAATAAAGGGACTAAAACAGCCGCTGGCTGACCTGCTGTTAGAGGGATTCTCTAAAGTTCAGGTCTCCATCAGATTATGAGACGTTTAGTGGAAAACTGCAGCGCCAGAGCTTTTTTTCCACAGTGAATGCCTCACAAGGCATTCATTCATTCCACTGCAGCAGATTTATTGAACTATTGAGTGAATGAGAGCTTTAAGGTCCTACAACTCCTAACATGCATGAGTCTGTTCAGTTTCATCCCACAGATGGATTATGGATCACTGGAGGGCGAGGTTCAGGAAGTATCTGGTTTAATCCTCTGCTTTTACCTGTTGGAGAAACTCTAGTGGAGGAAATAAGATCAGACGACTCCAAAGCCAAGGCAGAACCTTTATCTGAGGACATAGTTGAGCTCCAGGTTCTCAGCCCCGAGGCTGATTCTCAGATCTCTCCTGAACTTTTGTCTGCATCTCTGAATTTTACAGTTTAAACAACAACAACAAAAAAAAAATCAGTAAAATGCTTCCATAACTTCAGAGTAAAGAACCAGTTTCTTCTGGAGGCTGTTGATGTACCATGGTCACATCTGACCTTTAACCTTTGACTTGAACCACCTCTGTGGAACTGAACCAAACACCTTCTGTGTTGCAGCCATGTTTCCTCGAGCCCAGAACATCTCGTGGAAGTCCACCAACTTCAAGACGGTTCTGACCTGGGAACCCAAACCGTCAGCTGATTACTCATACACAGTGGAGTTCTCAGTGTGAGTATCACCAGTTTGCCCAGTTTAACCAGCAGAACACCCAAATGTCACACAGAGAAACCAGATCTGCTGGAGTTATGTTCAGATTATTATATTCTGGTCGACACGTTTGACTGGTGGAGCTCAGGTGACCAATAGGACCTCTGCGGGTCAGAACTGGTTATGGTGTAACGGTCCAGTCGTTTAGAACGGGACGTGCACAGTGAGTGGACAAAGGTTTTCCAGCATTCCACGATTCAGAGGAGATTCAGATCATTCATTGTTTTGACTAAACATTACGGGTTTTTTTTTGTTGCCACCAGTTTTAACATTTAGAGCAATGAGGCAAGAATGTTCCAGCTTCAACCATCACTTAGAGTCGGTTTCAAAACCCGCCAGGAACGACTGTTACTGTTAACAGAAGAAGAAAGCTTTAAGGTCTGAAACATTAGAGCTGCCCTACGTACGACCTTTAGAGGAAACTGCAAAAACAGGAAGTTGAGCACGCTAAAGACTTAGTTAAAGGGCCAAAGGTCACACAGTCCTGAATGCTGTCGAACAGATAAAGTGTTACAGCTGCGGTGGCTCAACTCAAAGAGCCGCCAGGAGTTCTGTCCCCCTCAGGACCACGTCTGGCTCAGGCTGGACCTTTCTGGATGGTGTGAATGTGTGTGTGTTCCTATCAGAAACGTGAGATATGAGATTTCATGTAGCTGATTTCATGTTGTTGTTTTTTCTTCACATGGGTACTGTTGTTATCACTGAGAAGCTGAATGCCAGGTCCCAGACAGAGACCCGACCTGAGAACGAGCTAAATAATACGTTAGAGAGAAGAACATCTGAACTGCCCTGTGTTAAACACACACACTGTGTGTGTGTGTGTGTGTGTGTGCGTGCGTGCGTGTGTGCGTGTGTGTGTGTGTGTGTGTGTGTGTGTGTGTGTGTGTGTGTGTGTGTGTGTGTGTGTGTGTGTGTGTGTGTGTGTGTGCGTGCACACGCTACAGGGTTGGAGGGGACAAAGAGCGAAACCATCACTGTGTCAGATCCAGCTCTACGACCTGTGACCTGTCTATGTCTCTGACTAACCTGGATGTCTGCTACACAGCTGACATCTTGTCAGAACCCCCGCTTGGTGTGACCTCTGACCTCACAGAGTTCCCACACAGCAGCGCACCTCGTTTCTGCCCGACCACAGACAGTAAGTGCCTCCGTCTGCCTTCGCGTCCTCCCACATCATCGTCATCTCCTGTCACCATGGAAACAGACATTACAAAAACGCAGCACAGTTAAAATCCAAATACCTGAGCAACACCGTCCACAGAGACTCCCAACACTGACCTGGAAACAGGTCGTTCTGTTCTGGTGCAGCAGAAGAAAGATCAGAGGAGAAAAGACCAGTCATCTGTTCACTAGATAGAAATCAACACACTGTATGTGCTCTGCTTTGGAACAGAAAGGGTTTTACCTTTTACTCTCCTTTTGAGTCACTCCTTGGCTGCTCCTAGAAATTATGAACAGAATCCAGGACAAAACCCCCAACGTTTACTGAAATGATTCTGATGCCATCCAAAACAACCTTTGTCAGGGATTCAAAAAAGCCCTTAGAAGGTCACGTGAATCCCCACAGGACACCTTGATAGACAGGACCGTAGGCCTTTACTAAGTCAATAAAATACATGAAGACTGGCTGGGCAACTCCTGTTGCACCCTCACTCTCCCTGGTATAGACCTTGCCGGGGTGTCCGAGTAGAGGGAACGTACATACCCCTGGTTCCCTCTTTTGAAGGAAAGGACCACCGCCACAGTCTGCTAGCCCAAATGTACTGTCCCTGAAGTGTCAACCACCATCAGCATCTAAAGGCTTTGGAAACATGGGGGGGTCCTCATCTCTGGCTGAGATTGGATGATGGTTTGCCAGAAACTCTTTGAAGCCATCTTGGGTTGTACTCAGTGGTTGAGTGGCGCACACTTGTGACATTACTAAACATGAACTTATTCTACCTTAAAGAGATGCGTCACCATTGTAGCTGTTACACAACCCGAGTTTCACCAGACTCCTTCCACACTGGAGTTCAGTTTCTGCATCCTCTCAAGCACGGGTCTGCTCGGCCTGCCAGCTGCTTCAGGAGTCCCATGAGCTAATCAAGCTCAACACGCTGGTGGTCATTATGATGTAAGAAAATATCGACATGGCAATATATCACAATATTTTTTCCTGCGATATTATATCAATACTCAAAAGCCGTGTATCAGACTTTTGGAAGAATTTCTTTTGGTGTAATTCAAACGCCGGCCACTAGGAAGCAGCAGTGTGCAACGGGTTTTGTTTCCACCACTGAAATGTAAATCCCTCCATTATGGTTCAGATACTTCATGTTAAACATGTTGCATATCAGTTTGGACTGTTTATTGAATTTTCCTACAATAATTTCAGTCTAAAAAATCGTTATTGTCGTCTGGCTGAATGTATCGCAATATTCCGTGATCGTCTCCCCTGTGTTGTGATATGTATCCTATCGCCAGAATTTCACCAATACACATCCCTAGTGGTCATCATGATATGCACCAACTACCCTATGCCCTGAATTTCAAGCAGCTGCATCAGCAGTAGAGGCCTGGAACATGGTCCCATCAAATTCAAGGTCCACTGCTCCTCAGAAAGAAAAAAGCTGTACTGGAGGTGAAGTTTCTGCCTGACGTTCCCAGAACACCCTCACTGTTTGCTAGGGTGCACTGTTCAGCTTCTCCCCTCTCCACCTGATCCAGCTCACCATCAGGAGGTGATCAGTTGAGAGCTCAGCTACTCTCTTCACCTGAGTGTCCAAATCACACTAAACATATCTGATGACATGATAATCAATCACTGACCTGCGAACCAGACTGTCTTGGTGCTACGTGTTGTTGTGGACGAACCGTGAAGTCAGACAACAAAAACCACCAGGGTCCAGATATGGTGAGACGGTTTTCCCAATCACACCCCTCCAGGTCCCACTGGTATTACTCATGAGGGCATTGAAGCCCAAGAAGGGTACTCTGACCTGTTGCTGGTGCTTATGCACAATGCCTTCCCTATATGATGGCAGAGCAAGATTTTCAGCTGGGCAACAAGCCACAGGTAAACCCATCCCCACTCAGCACCTCTACCCCAGGCTGGACTCCAGAGTGAGCCCGGGTATCCCTAGTCCTTGGTGAGGTTTCCTGGTTTTTAGTTCTTGTAGTCACCTCATCTAGAACCAATCTGTCATGGGATAGCCTACCAGAGGCAGACATGCCCCAAACAACATTTGTGTGCCACTCAACACCCCCACAATGCTAGGGTGATGATTTGTGGGGGTGTATGTGCTTTAAATAATCAACTCTCTCCTCTAAAGCCGACATTGGCCGACCAGAATTCCAGATAAAGGAGCACGAAGACAAAAAGTCTGTCACGCTGTACGTGTCAGACCCGCTCACCGCTCTCTTTAAAGATGGCCGCCAGCAGAACATCAGGGACATCCTTTCTGACAAGCTCTATTACAAAGTGACATATCGGAAAAATAAGAGCTCCGGGAAAGTGAGTAACAGCAAACGCGGCTGCCCTGATGACACGTTTGACAGACTTGTACTGGTGTAATGGTTTTCTTCTGATCTGTTGTTCAGAAAGAGTTGGAGTCCAAGTCCAGTAATATAGAAGTGACTGGTCTGGACCCAGAGGACGGCTACTGCTTCAGCGTCCAGGCCTCCATACCCAGCAGGACAGCCAAGCAGCTAGGGGAGATGAGTCAGACGGTGTGCTCCAACAACACCAACCAGTCCATCATCAAAGGTGAGCTGCCCTGAGGTTCACGTCCCACTGTCTCCATACACGTCCAGATGTGAAACCAATGTGTGTCCCAGAGAGAAACAAGATAGTAAACAGTATTAGGTCGGACTACTAAAGAAAGTGACCTACATCTCCCTGGTTCCAGTGTGAAGAACTTTGAAAGTATTAACCAGAAATGATCAGATCTTAAAAGTGTTCTGTTTAATCAATTTGTTTTGTCTGTTCTGACAAATGAAACATAATCAGTTATCTGTTTAATTATCTAGATGGAAGAATTAACTGATCTGAGTTTGAACAATGTTCTGTTGTTGGATTGTCCATTATGAACTCTAGACTCAAGACTCAAGACAACTTTATTAGTCCCCGAGGGGCAATTCGAGACAGCATTGTGAAGCAGCCGGCACTAAAATCTCTAAATTCTAAAAACACATCCAAATTACACATTTGTAAAACCCATAAAAACCTATATACACAATCATGTCATAAACTCACATGTGAATGACCAACAATGATTAAAACTTTGGCTCACTCACACACACACACACACACACACACACACACACACACACACACACACACACACACACACACACACACACACACACACACACACATGTAACTACATGCACGCACACATACAAGTAATGCACACTCCCCCTATCTGCACTGAGAATTAAGAAGAAGCACAGCTCTGGGAACAAAGGAACTTCTCCTCCTCTGTGTTTTACAGCATGGGCATCGAAGTCGGCGTTTGGAGGGCAGCCACTCGAAAACAGTATGAAGAGGGTGTGATGGGTCTTTAATGATTTTCTGTGCTAAACTTCCTGTATGCTGGTCACATTGAGAAGTTAAGCTTCGCAGTGGTAGTCCAATGATCCGAGAGCACACCTTGACGGTGCTTTGTAGACGGCTTCTATACTGCAGGCTGACAGAAAAAAACCAACAGGGGATGGAAAATGTGATAACACTCTCTATAAAAGAATAATAGAAAGTCAGTAAAATGTCCTTCCTGACTCCAAATCTACACCATCTACAAAGGTGTCCATATGTGCTCTTGGCACCAGGATACCTCAGGCTGCAGCTCGATAATCGACTTTGTTGTCGTCTCATCTGATCTGCGGCCGCATGTCTTGGACACTTGGGTGAGGAGAGGGGCGGAGCTGTCAACTGACCACTACTTGGTGGTGAGTTTGCTTCTATGGTGGGGGAGGATGCTGGTCTGACCTGGCAGGCCCAAAGATATTGGGAGGGTCTGCTGGGAACGTCTGGTAGAGTCTCCTGTCAGAAGACATTTCAATTCCCACCCCTGACAGAACCTTCAAAATGTTTTGGAGGAGGCGGGGGACATTGAGTTTGAGTGGAGCATGTTCCGTGCTTCCACTGTCGAGGCGGCCGACTGGAGCTGCGGCCGCAGGGTCATCGGTGCCTGCCGTGGTGGCCATCCTCGAACCCGCTGGTGGACAACGATGGTTGGGGATGCAGTCAAGCTGAAAAAAGAGTCTTATTGGGCGGAGTACTTCAAAGACCACCTGAATCCCACCAGCATGTCTTCCAGTGAGGAAGCAGAGTCTGGGGACTTTGGGTTAGCCTCTCAAATCTCTGGTGCTGAGGTCACTGGGGTGGTCAAAAAGCCCCACATGGCAAGGCTCCAGGGGTGGATGAGATCTGCCCAGATTTCTTTAATGCTCTGGATGTTGTGGGGCTGTGTTGGCTCATGCGGCTCTGCAGTATTGCGTGGACATCAGGGGCTGTTCTACTGGACTGGCAGACTGGGGTGGTAGTCCCCCTATTTTAAAAGGGGGACTGCAGGGTGTGTTCCAACTACAGGGGGCTCAAACTCCTGAGCCTGGTAAGGTCTATTAAGAGGTTCTGGAGAGGAGGGTCCGTTGGATTGTTGAACCTCGGTTTCAGAAGGAACAATGTGGTTTTCATCCTGGCCGTGGAACACTGGACCAGCTCTTTACCCTTAGGATGGTAGGGAGGATGGGGTACCAGGCCCTCTGATACGGGCTTCTAGGTCCCTGTATGACCGTGCTAGAGCTTGGCCATGGCTTGGACATTGCCGGCAGTAAGTCGGGCTTGTTTCTTGTGAGAGTTGGACTCCGCCAAGGCTGCCCTTTAGCACTGATTCTGTTCATAACTTTTATGGACAGGATTTCCAGGCACAGCCAAGGTGTTAAGGGGATCGTTTTGGTGGCCTAAGGATCAGGTGTCTGCTTTTTGCAGATGATGTGGTCCTGCTGGCTTCATCAGAACGTGACCTCCTGCTCTCACTGGAGCGGTCTGCAGTGGAGTCTGAAATGGCTGGGATGGGAATCCGCTCCTAAATCTGAGACCCTGGTTTCGAGTCAGAAAACGGTAGAATGCCTTCTCTGGGTCAGGGATGATATGTCATAGGTGGAGGAGTTTAATCATCTCTGGGTCTTGTCCATGAGTGACGGAAGGATGGAGCGTGACATCAGTAGGCAGACTGGTGCATCTGCAGTGATGTGTGCATTGTACCGATCTGTTGTGGTGGACAGAGACCTGAGCTGGAAGGGAAAGCTCTCGATTTACCGGGCGATCTACGTTCCAACCCTCACCTGTGGTGACGAGCTTAGGGTAGTGACCAAAAGAATTAAAGTCCCATTAGTTGTCAGTGTATGTGTGTGTGAAATTAAATCTCCATATCTGACACTCGAGGGACTATGTGTCTCGGCTGGCCAGGGAACGCCTTGAGGTTCTCCTGGAGGAGCTGGCCCAAGTGGCTGGAGAGAAGAAAGTCTGGGCCTCCCTGCTTAGACTGCAGCCCCTGCGACCCGACCCGGATAAACGGCTGAAAATGGATGAATCAGAGTCAGAAGGGTTTAATTGCCATATGTGTGAGAAACAACATTAGGATATTGCTGCAGTACTTGATGCAAGAAAAAAATAAGTGAAAAATTAGAATAAAGAAATAAACACAATGAAAAGATAATAATATAGGGAGGCAATATTTAGAGAAGCAGCTACTTGATACAAGTCAGTGTAGGTACTGACCAGAGCGGCTCAGTTCAGGTGCAAACACAACGCTATAGTCAGGTGATGGAAGCAAAGCAGCGGGAGTGGGCAGGTCTATGATTGATATTCATGAAGAAACTGTTTTTGCGGTGAGTGGTTCTGGTCCGAATGGATCGGAGCCAGATGGGAGCGAGTCAAAGAGACTTTGTCCTGGGTGAGACGGGCCTGCTGTGCATGCCTCAATGTCCTGGAGGTGGACGGATGGATGTTGAATAAAAAAAATTATCCTGAGTCCGAAATAAAGACTTGATTTTCCTCTGATGGTTTAGAAGGTGTAGAGTGCCCCCTTCAGGTGGTAGGAAGAACTGACTTTTTACTTTCAAAAACATCAGCATCCAGGTGTGTGTGTGTGTGTGTGTGTGTGTGTGTGTGTGTGTGTGTGTGTGTGTGTGTGTGTCCACAAGTCCATCACACGTCAACCACACACGCTTAGGTCACTTCAGGATGACCTGGAAACTTCAGTGCTTAGGACTGTTGTAAGACCCCCATGCTCGTTCTCCACACTCAGACTGGATGATTTTCTCACATTTGTGAAACCCGTCATGTCTCTGAATCGCTCAGCTGCTGTTTCAGTTTCAGGTCTGAAAAGGGTGAATTTGGTTTGTTAACAGAAAAGTAGCCGGTAAGAGATTCAGTCTGCACTAAAACTTTCAGACTTGTTTGAGTCTCATTCGTCCAGAGGGGAACTTAACGTTCTTTATCGCAGTCCAGTCCATCCTCCTGCCCTAGAAACACGTGGCATGGGCCATTTGTAGAAACAGACCATAATCCACGAGGAATGAGCCACACACCAAGATGATGCTAATTATGATCATGAAGATGTGACAGTTTTCTTTTTTTCCCAGATTATTCTCCAGGAGTTATAGCTGGTTCCATCCTCTTCGTCGTCGTAGCGATCAGCATCATCATCGCTGTCACTGTGACCTGCTGCAGACGCAAGAGGAAGGGCCCCAAGAACCGGAGAGTGAGAACGTAAATTCTCTCTGTAGCGCACACACACACACACACACACACACACACACACACACACACACACACACACACACACTGTGGAACACTGGAACAGATCCTTCTCTAGTTTCTGTGAAACTTTGAGATAAAATGATGAATTGGTGTTTTAGGAGAGATTGAATCAACATTTAGTTTTATGGTTTCTGCTGATGGTACGCTGGTTAAATGGGATTTTAACTTTAACACTCTGAGGGGTTGGGGACACTAAATAAAAACGTTGCACAGTTTATTTTTTTATCTGATAATTTATTGCTTCTAAAGGAAATGAACATTGCTCTGCTTGGATTGATCTGAGATATTTTATGTTTTATATTGTGAAAATCAAACATCCTGATTAAAATGAATATTAATAAAATATTTTTCTGTAAATGTTGTTAAATGTGTTTTAATAAAGCTGGGAACTAAATGATGTCAGTCTTTATGAAACCCATCATGTATTCCTTCTTATGGAGGGATGCATGTTGTTTTTGAACAAACCTGCATGGATCAATCGTAGCCATTCAAAATGGGCTTAGTTACTTTTAGTGTGAGTAAATACTTGTATGGTAAAAATGATGCATGGTTTTTATTGGTTGCACCTTCTTAGGGTTCTACAACCCCCTGAGTTTCTTCACAGCATGGTCAGTCATCCACCCATTCGCACAGTAATGGTGATGAGCTACACTGTAGCCACAGCTACCCCAGGGTACACTGATGGAGGCGAGACTGCCAAGCACTGGCACCACCGGTCCCTGTGACCTCTATCTGTTGCAGAACATAATGACCATGTGTGTATGTTACTTTTGCTCTGACACCAGTATGTAAGAATATAGTGAGAATGTAACAATGAGAAAGTCCAAGAGTTTTATGAGTCATTTTGGAAGGACGGTTATACTGAAAAATATTTCATATCCAGCTGGCTGTGGGGATCGTCAGTTTTTCTCCTTTAAAATCAAAGGAAGGAGGGACGTAACTGTTTACCATCAGTGAGTGTGGGGGTGCCGTGTCTCCTGAGCTAACGCATGCAGCGCGGACAATAGTAATTTGACGACAGCTGGCAAAAAAGCTCCATTTGTTTAAAGTAACCACATTTTACCACAGGATGTCATTTAACTTCATTTCATCATAATGCACCTTTAACAGTTCTGCTTAAACTGGTGTCGAGAGTAAATCTCAGAAATGGTTGTGGCTAAACAACTCACAGCTGCTCTTGATGAACATAACATCTATGATAGCTTCCAGTCAGGTTTTCGTAGAGCTCATTCTACTGAAACAGCTCTTCTTAGGGTCTCTAATGACCTTCTGACTCACAGTGATGCAGGGGACTGTTCTGTTCTGGTTCTGCTGGACCTGACTGCAGCCTTTGACACTGTTGACCATCACCTGCTACTGGAGAGGCTCAGAGACTGGGTAGGCCTATCAGGAGCTGCTCTGGAGTGGTTCTCCTCATATCCGAGTGTTCCTTCTCTGTGGCCGTCTCAAAGTTTAGGTCCTCCACCACTTCCCTCACCCATGGTGTCCCACAAGGTTCTGTGCTGGGGCCTCTGCTCTTCCTCCTCTATCTGCTTCCTCTTCAGCCTTAAAAGGAATCTCCTACCATCTTTGTGGCAAGGTGGAGAAACGAGGGCCCGGGCGGGATTCGATCCCCAGACTCCCGGGTGAGAGTCATGCACGCTAACCAGTCAGACAAAGGGACATCCCCTTGGCTAAGGGCGCATGATCAATCAGGACACTGACAAGACACTCACACAGTCACATTTACACAGATGACATCCAACTGTACATCTCCTTTAAGCCCCATGAGATGTCTAAGCTGCAGCTGTTACACACCTGCTTAGACTATCAAAACCTGGATGGCTGGGAGCTTTCTACAGCTGAATGAAGATAAGACTGAGATCCTCATCTGTGCCCCAGACAAGCTGGTTCCCAAAGTCAGAGACTCTCTTGGTCAGCTTGCTTCCCACACCAAATCTTCCGTCAGGAATCTTGGCATGACCTTTGACCCAGCTCTCACCCTAGATTCTCATATCAGTTCTCTTGTTTGTTCTTCCTTCTTCCATCTCAGGAACATTGCCAAGCTGAGTCCCATGCTGTCCCGCTCTGAACGAGACAGTTCTCCACACCTTCATCTCCTCACGCTTAGACTACTGTAACTCTCTTTTCACGTGTCTGAGCAGAACCTCCCTGAACCGTCTACAGGTGGTTCAGAACGCCTGTGCTCGGCTTCTGACCAAGTCCTCCAAACACACCCACATCACCCCGCTTCTCCTCCAGCTTCACTGGCTGCCAGTCAACTTCAGAAAAAGTGAGAAAAGTTCAGTCAGAAGCAAAATGACTGGGACACAGAATTTAATAAAACAGCAGCAAATCCAGATGAGATCAAAACAGAACTTCTTTAATCTGAGCTTGTTGATGGTTCAACATGGATGACAGAGTAAAGCAGCTGGGTTATCTCCACACGTGTACTCTGAACACCCCCACCCTTCACTCATATAAAGAGATTCAATCATTCATTTCCTGTTTTTATCAGCTAACAGCAGGAAACATAGTGAAAGCAGGACATGATGGAAACACCACAGCCTGATTCTTAGTTCTTTAATCGATACGTTTATAAAACTAGTGAAACCAGCATTAGAGCTGGTTAGATTCTGGTCTGATCTGACCTAAACTCATTTAGAGTCAGTTTGTGTAGAAGCAACATAAAGATGCTGCATCCCATTTCTGGTGGTTGTTAGTCATACGCTAATGCTAACGAGCTTCATAAGTTCCTGCTGCTGTCAGAACCACATCAGGTCCAGATCACCAGACTGGACTCTTCTGGGGTAGACCGAAACAAACAGCTCCCGCATTTAGACTCGTTCCTGTCTAGCGGATCGAGGTCCTGTCCCACTGAACGGTTAAGGAGTCAGAAACAAGTGCTAGTTAGTGTAGCATTGTTAGCTTTAATGGTGATAATGAGCTGATGGTGACCAACAGCAGCAGCCTGAAAACACCTCTGCTGATGTTTAAACCTGCTATCAGTTCCTGGAGGAAGACAAGTTCTGGGTAAGCATAGGGCTCAAACAGCCCCCCCCCACTACAGTACAGTACCACATGATCCCATCAGTTTAATCATCTCACCACAAAATAATAAAACCATTCTGATTAGAAGTAAAGTGAAATATTAAATAAAAATGTTCTAAATTATTAAAAACATCATTTCTAGATTCAAGTGCAAAGAATTAATGGTTTGGATCAGCTGCCGGTTAAGATCCAAACTCCACCGTTTCTTCTGTGATGGGCTTGAACTCGTAGTTCCCTCTGCCGTCCATGTGCAGGTAGAACTGTAGGACAGAGACACGAGACAAGGTCAAATTTCATTGAGGACAGACCCAGTCCAGACCTGTCAGGACCTAAAGGCTGGTCTGGTGGGATCAGCTGATCACACAGAGATCTGATCCAGTAATAAACCATCAGGGCCTGTAGAGGTCTGGTTCTGTCACCATGGTAACAGACTCTGAGCCAACATGTTTTCTTTCAGAAACACCAGAGTTCCTATGCTCAGACGTTCACGCTTCCTGTTTAACGAGGTCTTTACTCCTGATGGATCAAATGAAAACCTGTTTAATATGGTCCAACACCTCCTCACAATATATTTAACCAATGTTGGATCAATGATGAATGACTATAAATAAACGATAAATCTGCGTGAGGTGATGATAAATAATATTGAATGCAACATTTAACACTGGCGTTCAGCCTCCGTCTCCTAATTCTGGTCTACCTACACCACCGCCTCTACACCAGGGCCGTTTCTCCTTACCCAAGTACACAAGCAGCACGTTTGTGTACTTGACAAGTACATTCTTGGTTTGTACTGCAGAAAGTCTATTCTACCGAGCACGAGAGGACGGAACAGAACCGTATACTCCGTTACGTCATGGCAACAAGCGCTGCTTTATGCTACAGTTAAAGAGCAAGTCACCCCCTACAATAAACTTACTCCACTCCCACTTCATGTTTGAAAAATGCAACAAATGCTGTTGCTTGGCAGACAGAGAGGGCGGAGCCGCTAACAAATACACACACAGGCTCACAATGGCATTATGACATCATAATATACCAGATGACATCATAGCATACCTCTTAGCCAATAGCGGTGGCAGATTTAAATTCAAATACAGTGCAGAATTTTTCCCTGACGACGGCGCAACACTCACAGTTTTAGGCAGAATATTTGAATTTTAACCAAGATGCACTGAACTGCCAAATTATTGACTACACGTGTCTGCAGCATGATTAGACACTCCTTTATATAGTTTATCAGCAAAAAAAAAAAAGTGATTTGGTGGTGACTTGCTCTTTAAAAAAAATGACCTGAAATACTAAATTAAAGGAAATGCCCATATTATTTTGATAGTGGGCTAGCTAATTAGTGGTTAGTGGTGGTCCAAGTCCAAGATCTGTAATTTGAATTGCTTTTATTTTCTGATTTATTCACTTTATTTAACTTTGTACTGCTCCATGTTCAGCGCCTTGGGCTTCCTGACAGGGTTGCGGAAGGTGCTTTGTAAATAAAGCTTTGATTTGATTTGAAGAAAGAAAAACACTCAGCAAATTTGACAGGTTACACACAATTATCTACAATAACAGACGACTGTTTATTTATTTAGACTTCATTATTTCTATTTTTGATATAAAAACACAACTATGAGCTTTCTCTTCTCAGGGTGTAACGGTTAGTGACACAATGCATTATGGGATAACTTGCCAACCCTAGTCATCAGAAGGATGTGTTGATGCATCCTGAACACAGTGGGCGGAGCTAGAACACCAGGAAGTTTGAGAGCACTTGGGCCAACATTGGTGACGTTTCACAAGTACGTGAGTATAGACTAGTATGCGTATTTAGAAACGGTCCTGGACCAGCAGTCAAGTCTGTTGAACTGTGGTTGCCATGGAGACACCAATAAAGAAGGCTTTTTAACCCAGGTTGACACAGTTACTAAAGTCAGTGAATCTGAAACCGTTTGTTGAACTTTTCTGGTTCTCACTCAACACCACTGTGAGCAACCTGATTAAGACAGATTATAACTGAATTATATCTAGATTACCACTAGACCCCGGGCTCTAGACAGGATAGATAAGGACTGTCCCACAGAGGGCAGGGGTGCGTACCTCATGGTGCTTCCACAGGGACTTTCTGTGGGACACGGTGAACAGGGTGATGCCCACCTGAGGATCAGAGAAACAGTTTCTTTACTTCGTTATAGAACACAGGATTATGCACGTTCACGTCCAAAACCGTTCATCTCTGAGGTTCTACAGAATCTGCTCCAGACTCCAGCTCTTCACAATAAAACCCCCTTTAAATGAGCCCCATCTGCTCCAGGAGCTTCTGTTACTGAATCTAGGAACGAATCACGTCAAACATAGAACATTTTTTTTTTATTCTACCAGCCCCCGATTTAAATGCTCATTTAGCTCTTGGAATTTCTGAGACCAGGCTCCCCTCGCCTCAGGTCTGAGCTGTTGGACCCGGTTCTCGTTGTCCTGATCAGCTGTCTAGGTGGGTCAAAGTTGAGCAGGGTGTCATACCGTTCTGCAGTGGCTGTAGATATAGTCCTCCACGTCCACACTCACGGCGCTAGTGCACTCATCCAGGATGGCGAACTGGGGTTTGTGGTAGAACAGTCGGGCCATCTGCAGTCACAAACACATCCCGTCCCAGAAACGTTATTAGAACAGGTTCTACTCACAAACCCGGAGGTGAACTACTGAGAGTGAGATGAGAAGTCCCACAGACTGGGACATCAGTCTGTTCAGGACCGTGTCTCTGTAATAACACCTACAGCCATCCTCTGCTTCTCTCCTCCACTCAGAACATCCATCCAGTCCTGGATGGAGTCCCAGCTCCCCTCCCTGTCCAAGATGTGACCCAACTGAACATTGTCCAGGTACTCCTTCAACACCTGGACTCAGGGACATGACATCCATCAGAAACCAGTGCTGGCTAGAGGTGTGAGGTTGTGGGTGGGTCTGAGATCTCACCTGGTCAGAGATACCTTTCCTCCTCTGTTCCTCCACGGTGTCGGGGTAAATCACCTGGTCCCTCAGAGAGCCCAGGGTCATGTAGGGTCTCTGTCCAACAGAAACAACTTAAATCAGCATCTTTAATTTAAGAATCAGAACCAAGTTTGTCCAGTTTGTTTAGAACTGGCTGTGTTAAAGGTGTCCACAGGTCTGATGATCCAACACACACATTTCCATTCTGTGGTATGACTGAGACACTGGGGACGCCGGTTATTCTTGTGTCTTACTGAGCTGGGACTCACAAGGTCGCAAAGGTACAGGAGAGTTCAACATGTTTTAAATGTGCCTGGGTCACTGGGGGGCACTAAAGGGGGACAGGCAGGTCACAGGGGGAGGGATGGATGTTAAAGTTAAAGTCCCATTAGTTGTCACATACACTAATGTGTGTGCGAAATTTGTTCTCCGCATTTGACCCATCCCCTGGGGGAGCGGTGAGCTGCAGACACAGCCGTGCTCGGGAACCATTTGGTGGTTTAACCCCCCAATCCAACCCCTGTGATGGGTCACAGGCGGGCGGATCAGAGGACGGGGGATGGGCGGGTCACAGCAGATGTAAATGCTTCTTTAACAGGATAACCTGCAGAGATCATTGATCTGTGACATGTAGACTAAACCAGAGCGTGAGGTGCAGCAGGTCAGACAAAGGCATCAGCTTACACCAACAGAACCAGATTATTTAATCTGACACACGTTTACTGTTGTAGATTTACAATAAATACATTCAGAATTATAAACTAAATACCAGCAGGTTTTGTCTTCAAAGCAGAAAGTTTCTGTTTCTGTTAACCTCAAATATCTGGAGATCACATTTTAAGAATGTGCAGTTAACAATTTCCAACAGCAGGTGGTGGAGTTGAGCCGTTTACTGGATATGATCATTTTATTTCTCTAAAACTTGCAACGATGAAACTACGTCTACCCGAAGCCATGGCTTTAGTTTACCTGTGGAACGTAGAAGAGCTTTCCCCTCTCAGGTTTAGTCAGACATCCTCCAAACAAAGGCCACAGCTGTCAGAGAGAGCAAGACCGGTCAACATAGGAGGAAAAGCTTTCTTCTAGACACCAGAGATAAAAGTGGTTAATACTGGTCAGTGTCACATTCAACCACCCAATCAGCTAGCCCAGGGGTCGGCAACCTGTTCCCATCAAAGAGCCATTATTACCCGTTTCCCACAGTAAAGAAAACACTGGGAGCCACAGCAGCCGTGGCGTTGTGGGCGGGGCCTACCCTCAGACAGCAGAGAGCTGCTTTAACCAATCACAACAGGTGACAGCAGCCGGTACCGGTCGCTCGTGTACGTCAAAGTTATCTTTCATAAGACGATAATCAATAAAACGATTTATATAAAGTGGATCCAGAAGTTGTAGCCCGTCTCTGCCTTCAATTTTTGGTATTTTTCACCCTGTTGGTGGTTTTACTGAGCAGGTGCCACTTTTGTCATACGTTTCTTTTTAAAACATGTTTAGACTGTTCAGAATACAAATCCAGGCTCTGTCATGTTTGATTGTTGTAATTAAACTTTGTAGGTGGGGAAGGTGAGAAAAGGATCTGATCATTTTGTTTTTCCCTCATTAACAGCGACGGAGATAACGGTACAGTGTGCCTGGCTCTGGTGTTAATCAAGTTAAATTACATCTCTTTGCAACAATTTTCACAAGAAAACAGAACAGTTAAAAGCAGGGCTTGTGTTGACCGGACAGTTCCCGTATTTGGCCGTTTATTTTGACGGAGAAAGAATAGAAAGAATTACCCCGACGCATGCAGACGAACTGACATTTTATTTGTTACGCACATCGCAGATGTAGCTAAATCACTCAAGAAAAGATTCCCATCTGAACATCTGAGCTGGACACTGCTCAGCGCAGCTCACTGTCAGCATGTACTACATAAGGTCCACAGCAAGCTGAAGATGTGGAGAGGGGCATGGAGCGCGTTGCAGAACCAGAGCGCATGCAGGAAGATTCCTCCGACTGAAGCAAGACTTGTCACTTAGAAAATGTTCCCTGATTATGAAACTTTGGCTGAATAGCGCTCGTTCCTGTCTCCAATATGGCGACACATCCAGGAGCCTGTCTGAGGAGAATCCCAGAATCTCACATCCTCGTCAGCTCAGAATGCGCCGATATGATTACGCACAAGCGTGACGCGTCAACCCGGTCACACAGTAAGACCAGGTTGGAACTGTTCAGGTTTACGCAGACAATCTTTACATTTAGAATTGACAGATGATTACTTAGATTACTTAGAATTACAGATGTAAAATTAATGCAGTAAAATATAAAGCATTTTATTTAAATATCCATTCATTATTTTACAAGCACAGAGAGCCTCATCAGATGGATGGAAGAGCCGCATGCGGCTCCAGAGACGCGGGTTGCCGACCTCCGAGCTAGCCTTTACTTGATAGTTTAATGGAACAATATTACGTCATTCTATAATTATAGTTTATATTATAAGTATGCAGAGGTGGAAAGAGTACTAAAATGTTGTACTTAAGAACAAGTATAATTACTTTCATGAAATTTTACTCAATTACAAGTAAAATTACCTGCCTCAAAATGTACTCAAGTAAAAGTAAAAAGCAGCTTATTTCAAATGTAGTCAGAGTAAAAGTTACTTAGTTACTTTTTTGACTGTGCAAGGACGGGCTCTTCTGAATAGTTAAAAAAAGACAATGGGGTATAAATGTCAAAGTGGCCGTTTTTTTAATTAAATGAACAAATATGCATATTGAAGTACAAAGGCAGTTACACTGCAAACTAGTAACATAAATTAGGTTATAGTCACAAGCCCATGACTTTTCCCTGAATGCTTATTTAGAGCAGCTGATTTTTAAAGTTAGCAGAGTTCATCTTTGGTAGTGGGTTCACTCACTCATTTAAAGATATCGGCCAGAGGCAAAATTTGTTTGAACAGCATGTGTAAATGTGTATTAAAATCTCAGATGAAAAAGGTTTTTGGATTTTGATGTCTGGAATTGTAAGAAAATCTGAAGTTTGTGACTGGCGCAGGAAAAACAGAAACTAACTTCCGGTCTAAGCCCTGGGCAGCAGTTGACGTTTCACATGAAGCTCTGCTGAAACAGCTGTAGTAAACAATGCCTGGCTCCGCTGTTTCTGCGTTAGCGTTATAGCAAAGAACAATGTGTCATCAATCAGATGTAGCTTCTGAAGCCTCTACTAGTCCATCAGATTTGTTTTTTTTCTCTGGGATACGGCGATGAGAACGGATATTAGATTACTGGAGAAGTTCAACCGAACTTCAACCCCGCCAGCTGGATATCACTACCAGAGGTGCAGACATGTTTTAGACCGTTTGACTCAGAAGACCTGCGACCTGATTTGGACATAGAGGAGGATTCTGTTAATCTTCAGAACCAAAATCGGTACAGTTTGTTTATTTTCTTAAATATTTCATTTCTGTGCTCCACTGGGAGCTCTAAGCTGACAAGTTTTCAGCTGGTCTTAGCTCCATCATGTGTCCCAATATAGTTCAGTAATCTACAGTTTTACTGCTGTGTGTATTTTTTGACATAACTCTGGAAAATATTTAACCAACAATTTACCAGAATAAATCTTCCTCATGCTGGAGTAACTCCTTAGCTCAACTCGTTGTTTGCACTAATCCAGGATGTCATGGAGGTTTTAATGTTGAAATATAGAGATCATCTTTTAGATTATATCTGTGTGTGTGTGTGTGTGTGTGTGTGTGTGTGTGTGTGTGTGTGTGTGTGTGTGTGTGTGTGTGTGTGTGTGTGTGTCGTAGCTTTCCCAAAGGACTTGTTCTTTCCTTACCGGAGCGAACACGGTTAGTTTTGCTGCAGTCATGCTAACGGGACTCGTCTGGAGTCCAGAAGTAGCGGTGCGGTTCTAGATGGATTTATAGATGTAGGTTATTATTTTAGATCAGACCTGTTATTTAAAAATGCGTGTAGGACACGGACACATGGCTCAGACCTTTTGCTGCAGCTGTAAACGCAATTTTACGTAATAATTAGGAGCATCAAAGTAAACAAATAATAGTGATTCACAATATTAGCATCAGCAGCTAGCTTGTTTTACATGCTGGAGTGACGTATGCGAAACACAGTTCTTCACTGTCTGGAGGAGAGGATTTGGATTTTCTTTAATGATTTCTGACAAAAGTCCTTAATAAAATAAAAAACTGGACCCAGTACATGTTTATATAGATAATAAAGTGTAGTTATTTTGCATTTCTACAATTTTAATGCTGAGCCAATACCTTTAACCCTTCACCACTGAAATCAGTTTGTTCATCCCAATCCTCCTAAATAATCCTCCAATCATCCAACTGGAATCCTTAAGGGTCCCGTAACGTCCATCCTGTCAGAATAGGCCTTGGGAGCCCAGGTGTTACTAGAACTAATGGTGTCTCCTCACCAGCGTGAGCCTCCAAACTGTGAAGGTTGGTCTCCAAATATGAACTTTAAATTCATGCATTTATCTCCTCTTGTAGCACTTTAACGTGTTTTAAAAGGCTTGTATCATGATATGTTACACCTCCCAGACCAAAAATAGGTCCAATATAAGATAAAACATTATCATAAACACTGCAGAGACATCACTGTTTATTAAAGTACTGAGCCATTACTTCAGCCAAGATATAGGATGCATGGATTTGATGAAGCCATGCTGTCTTATGCAGTCCCCCCCACACACACACACACACAGCAGCAGCAGCATGTTAGAATCATGTGAATGACTAATTTAACTACACTGAACTGCTTTAGTAATAATTTAATCTCTTATTCTGGAGTAAAATAAAGAAACAAGCTAAATCATCACATATCTGTGGCATCAAGAAGCATCTTCTGAGTTCAAACACAGGGATGGAGCACAATGTTTACACCTGAACAGTATCAGGATGTTTTAACTCACAGAGGCCTGCAGGTCTTCTGTTTTATGAGCAGAGCGCTGAGAATCCACTTCTTAGGAGCGCTAAACGTAATTTTGCCACTTCCGTGCGCGGTAGGGAAACACTCAAACACGGAACCGAGTCTGGTTGCCGAACCGAGCAGAATTCTGATGACGTCACACCGGTGCGCGAAGGTGCGGGTTCCAACCCACAGGAGAGGAGGGAGAGAGGAGGTAAACAGCGAGTGGATCACAGGGACTGAACTTATGTTTCTGAGCAAAACTGTGGTAAAAATGGCTGTTTGTCCTCATCATAAAGAGTGTAGCCCCCCCCGGTTTAGACGCGGCGCTCATGCAGGTGTCTCTTTCTGTTCCGACGCTGCTACACGTAATATTTTTAATTTATTAAGCCTACAATTTATTTTTACTCAGTAACGGATATGATTTAAAATGTAGCGAATTACAATTCTTTTTTAAAAACTTACTCAAGTAAAAGTAAAAGTACAGATTTTAAAAACGACTTAAAAAGTATAAATTTACAAAAAAGCTACTCAATTACAGTAACGTGAGTAAATGTAATTCGTTACTTTCCACCTCTGTAAGTATGTTTATCAAATGAGTATATGTGCTGTAATTATTATCCCTTCCCCTTAGATCATAAATTATTTATCATTATTCTGTCTGTTTGCACCCACTTCAGAGCCAACCGTCTTTAACATCCCATCATACATGTTTATGTCTAAAGATCCTCATATTTTAACATTAACTTTAGAACTGCATCATGTCTGGATGTCGTTTCATCCTGAAATTCAAACTGCTCCACAGTTTTAACCACCAACACCTCCTGAATCATCACCTCCCGTTGAGGGCCTGCGGCCAAGCCCTGCTGCTCTCTGATTGGACAGTTAGATTTGTGATCGACAGGACACACAAGTGAAAATCCCACGTGTAGTTTCTTTTTTAATCTGTAAAAAGACCTGATTTAGTAACTTGTGTAGTTTTTTCTGTAAACCCAGTCAAGTCATTCTCCTAATCTGGCAGTATTTGGTTTGCTTTAGCTTAGCATAAACAATGTAAGTAAATGGTAACAGCTAGCATTAAAAAAAAGACACCTACTTCCGGAAACACAAATGTGTGGCTACTAGGCTAGCGTTTTGAATGAACCGCATAGTAAGTTGCAGAAAAATGGCCGAAAACATGACAGACGAAAAATGTGTCTTATTGCGTCGTGTCCCTGCACCTAGCAGCGGTGATTTGTCTTAATGTAGTCCAGAGCCTAAATCAGCTCCTGTTACTCCTTCGTCTTTCATTTGCTGTCGATGTGATTATTGAGGTCACCAAGAAAAACTGGGATCAATATTGAGAAATGTTCATGACTACTTCACGTTTCCGGTCGGCTCACGGGTCCCCGGAAGAACGAAAAAATGACTGCAAGTCAACGGGGCTAAAAACGCTATTTTCTAAAAGTTTGTAATTAGCACGATTACAAATTAGACATCGGCACGTCGCATAAGTGACATCACATACAGAATCTCTTCTCCCCTAGCATAGCTGCTACTTAACGCATGGCCAGATTTATGGTGGTTCTTTCCTCCTGAAGGATTTAAAATTCGCTGAACTTACAGCCATTTTTCATCTGTGTTGCTCCGTGTCAGGTTCGATGGCGTAACTTTGGTGGTGCGCATTTGTAGTCCTGGACTTATTTTCACACAACACTTAAACTACAATTTTCCCAGCGTTCAAAAATAAGCACTTTCTTGGTATCAAAATGTGTCTTTAAAATTCACGGACATCATATGTGAAATCCATGGTACAAAACAAGCGGAATTAGAAAATAGCGCTTTTATCCCCGTTGACTTGCATTAAGTTTTCGTTCTTCCGGGGACCCGCGGTCTGGAAGAAGATGGGCGTGACTTAGACTCTTTATAGTGGATCCAAACCACCAAAGCAGAAAGCTCCTACCTCTCCTAACACTCTGAACAAAGAGCTCTTCCCACAGCCGTTTGGTCCACAGACCAGGACGTTTGTTCCAGACCTCACCTACAGAACACAGAACAGACAGAACGTTCAGTTTTAATCACTTTTTATACGTAGTGCTGTGAATGGACTTGACCAGCACCTTGGGCAGTTTGGAGAAACGGGTTAGATGAGCAGTCCCAGCTAGCCTGGCCTGCCAGACTCGCCCTCTGTTTAATTCCACACAGAGCTTCCCATAAGCTGGTCAGGCTAAGTCCCAGCAGGACCAAGTCAAAAACCAGATCCAGTCTCAGAGGTTCATGAAACCATCAGTTTCACATGACACCGTTATCCTAATGAAAATGTTCTCAGATTCCAACAGGAAGTGACCAGGCTGCACAGGAAGTGATGCAAACTGAGCTGCTGCAGACTTCAGTCATCTACAGATGGCAGCACTCTGCTTGGGTCCTGGTTCTGCTCAGTCTGAGTCTGGGTTCTCTAAATGGGAAGGATCCAGACCCTGATTCCTAACTGTTCTACAGAGGTCTTTAGATCTGGTGACCCCGTAGACCCCAGAGGAGCTACACCGACATTTATATCAGATCTAATCTCTCGCTCTGATTTCCAAATCTGTTTGAATTTTTGTTTACAAACTAGAAACCACAGACAGAAAGGTTCTGGTCGAGCTGAAGCATTGGATTTACCTCAAACGTGAGGTCCTTGATCAGAACGTCTCCGTTGGGTGTGGCTAGTGGTGTGTGGTCAAATCTGGAAAACAAACAACAAAAGGTTCTTTGACAGGACACCACAGAACAACAAAGGTCCAGTTGTCTCCATGTGGAGAACGTGCAGCTCACTTGATGACGTTATCTCGGTTGATAATCTGACCACTTCCAGGTACCAGAAGGTTCTTCTCCACGGTTTCTGCTGTGGAGATTAGAACCAACATGAGCTTCACCTCACATGATACCCGTGGTGTGTGTGTGTGTGTGTGTGTGTGGTACCCTTCTCCTGGTGAGAAACCATGGTCCTTTCATATCTGCCAGCATTCAGCTCCTTCAGAACCATCATCAGTTCAGTGATTCGAGCCGTGAATCTATGAGACACACGAGACAAAGACCCACTTTAGTTCATCATCACAGGTTCTGATCGCGCTCTGCTGCACATCTGGTCCAGCTCACCACACCTTACAGCACGGTCTGGGTTTGACCAGCAGGCTTTACACAGACAGCTTTAAGTCTCATTTCAGAGAATATCTGCTAGCCAACCAAAACAGAACAGATGTTTATTTTCTGATTATTAATCAGAGTCCGTTCATGCTAATGAGTTCAGACTGTGTGAACAAGGCCGTCTCAGAAACAACACAACAAATATCAAAACAAACGATTCGCACTAAACAGAATTAAACGTCACCAGGTTTTATCATGGGGAGCATTGAACACCAAAACACTCTAATGGACATTATTCACACACACCAGAGCCCTGAGTTACATGAGGTTTCTGGTTCACGGTGGCGACTCACCCTGAGAGGCGGGTCATCTCTCGTCCAGCCAGGACGATCCGTCCCAGGGCCTGGGACATCCTCAGGAGCATCCTGCCACTCTGGTAGTAGTCCTGGGAGAAAACAGGACTAATGATACTAACTGTGCTACAACTGGCCCACTAAGGTGTTTCTGTTCACGTGACCGTTTAGCCTTAGGGGAGCCTCTCGTGTTCACTGGTGAATATCAGTAGAACAGAAGAGCCACACATCAGTACATGATCTACAGCTGCACTGTGATGCACAGGTTAGCAAGATGGCTGCAGGTTCAACTCTGCACTGAGGTGGAACGTTGTTGTTAGGCTTTTTCCTCAAAAGTCCAAACAACTGATCTGTCCAGGATGGACCGTGTCCCTAATCCAGAGGTCTGCAGCCATTACCAGTTAACAATGAGCTAGTTTAGGCTCTAGTGGGAGGGTTTGCACGGAGTCCAGACAGAGCCAGGATATCTGGATAAGTGAGAAAAAAGGTTTAGGCCGGGGACACACTGGCCGCGTAAGAGCCGCGAAGCGCCGCGAAAATGGGACCGCCTTCATTCGGCGCCCTTGTTAAGCTATTCTATCGACCACATGGGCCGCCGAAGCGCCGCGAATCGCCTCGCGCCGGCACGCGCCGGCGCTCCAGCCCGCGCCGTGCAGCGATCATTTCGGCGTTGGCTCTATTTTTTTCGCGAGCCGCGGGTGAATCGCGTCAATTCTGGCAGGAAGTCAAACGTAGACATAAGAGGCAGGCCGGTAAAGTTAACAAAATAAAGCATTTCAAAATAAAATTCCGCAATAGTCAAATGTGTTCGTAAACAGACACTGCAGAAAAAGCACACGAACACGCACACACATACACACACATCGAACTTGTGTGCGTGTGTGACCGTGTGAAGGGGTGTGTGGTTTTGGGTGTCTTTTCACCGGAGCAAACAGGACAGAGAGGCAGAAAGTGAGGCAAGCAGTTAAGATGGATGACTTTAAATTAATTATGGACGTTGAGAAACACAAGGAGCTGTACGACCCCCGAAAAACATGCTTATTTACGTACCCATTTAGGAAGAAACTGCTAGGATACAGCTGCAGAATTGGAGCGGGTTCCAAGAGATTCAACTGGCAGAAACAACTCATACCATAGGTTCACACACACACACACACATGCGCGCGCACACACACACACACACGCGCGCGCACACACGTAGAGGAAAATAGCTGAGAAAAGGCAGAGGAAATGGAGGACACCCAAGTGTTTAAAAGAAAAACTACAGCTGAGCCGAGGCGCGCCTCGACTGGGGCGCGTCTGATCTGAACTGAGGAGCGGCGAGCAGCGGCCGAATTTCGTGAGCGATTCGCTTCTCGGCGCTTCCGCGGCCGGTGTGTCCCCGGCGTTAGCCTGAATGTGGCCAAGTGCAAGCTAGGTGTCTCACCTCCAGGAGCTCAGAGGTCGTGCTGTGAAGGTGTCGGGGGTCAGACAGGTTGAGAAATGGACGGCTAACCACCAGGTACCCCACAACAGTGGCTATATCTGCAGAAAAGCAACAGAACAAAGGAGAAAAGGGAAACAGAGGACATCAGCTGCTACTTCAACCATCACTGTCCCAGTTCTCCTGGGACCAAGTTAGGAGAGTCGGGTCAACAGAGGTTCTGGCAGAACTTACACTTAGCAATGATGCTGTCCACAAACCCCATAGAGAAGCGAAAGAAGATAAAGTTATGGAGATGGTCGGCCTGGGAGAAGAAAGAACAAATGAAACTCCTCTGTGAGAGGACATCAGGACCATAACAAGTTGGCTTTAGCTGGCCTCTCAGATGTTTCCTAACAACAATATTTAATAGGCATGGGCGAAAAGTGCAGGCTCAGATTTTATTTTAGGAAATCCAAATTCCCACAGGATGACGGGTTTAGGAGTTACAGCTCATTTACATGTGCCGCCATCTTTGAAAGGGCAGACGTGGCACCAGGAGTGGAGCACTGGGGTGTGGACATACACAGGACCTGTGAGAGCGAAGGACCAGTGAACAAACACCCACCAGCTTCTTAAAGGTGGCGTGAATCGTCTGCTTCTCCCTCAGGTTCCCGTTGTAAAAGGCAATCTCCTCACTGAAGGAACAGCAACACAGGCTCATAACACATCAAAGCTTCTGATCATGGATCTCATGAACTTGTTCTGACACTGGACAAAAGATCGGACCACCAGAGGACACATCAAAACGGCTCTGGCGTACTGCGCCCTACCTGTTAGTGATGAGGCGAGAGTTGACGTAGCGGTACTCTCCCTCGTAGCGCTGCTCAGTCACCGTCAGCTTGCCTATGGGCCTCCTGAGCCGGGTCAAGAACAGACCTGAGATCAGCAGGTAGGACATCATGATGGCTGGACCCTGGCGAAAACAGGAAGGACTTCCCTTACTGTTGAGTATTTGCCGATACCTGCTAGCATGTAGCATGACTCGAGTCAAGCTAAGGGGGTTCGAGTGAAGGCACCTGGACTTCTTTAGTTCCTTCAAGTCGTTTCACGACTCATTTCATGAAACAAAGCTCTTAGCATGAGTAGCAAAATGTTCTTCACTCAGACCTTCTAGGATCACACAAGCCGGATGACTCAATACCTTCTAGTTGGGTCATGAACAACAAGACAGGACTCATCAGCTGGTATCTTTAGTACAAAATAACAAGTCCCATCTTCTGTGTGAACTGTAAACAGAGGGCTACAGGACACGAGTCAAACAGGAAGTCTGATTCCTCCCTCTTGGTTTTTGTTTTGGGTAATCTGATAATCTGATCTGGACGGATGTGGAAATGTTAAATGAATTGAAAAATGACTCCTACACAAACCAGTGTAGTAGTAGACAAATGTGCTTGATTATATAATATAACAGCTTTCCAGACCTTCTGCTGAGCAGAGCTAAACCGTTAGCCCTCTGGTTCCTGTTGTAGCCCGCAGCATCAGCTCTGTGTAACGGATTCATTCTGTAGTATCAGTACACCATGCTAGTGTCAGTATGGGGGCATCACTAATAACTAGATATGAATACTTTATTACATAAGACTAAGATTTACATGTGATTCGGTTATTATTAGAGATTAGATTAAAATATAAGTTATTAGATGGCAGTTCATCAGTTTTAAATATTATTTAGTTATTTTTGGCAAGGCTTCATTATGTCTAAATACATTATAAATATTAGTTATTGGTGTGAATTATGATTATTTAGTCCTGATTTATACAAACCAGATTATTAAAATTAATAATGGTTGGATAGATATTTAGTTATCCACTGTGGAGGCTGCAGGCAGCAGAGACAGAGGGGTGTTCTGGTGGAGACTCACCTGGGCACCGATGGCACTGGTCAGCTTGAAGATGTACAGACCAATGTCCAGCAGAGGCTGGAGGAGACACAGAGCAGAACGTTAGACTTCATTTGGTCTTTAGTAATCTGGAGTCGTCATCATCGTCATTATCAGCAGGACTGGAAGGACCAGAAGGACTCAGCAGAAAAGGTCTGATAGCTTCAGGACACCTCTAGTTGGAACATGCTCTGTAGGAGACACACGGTACTGATGGAGATCTGAATGGAAACCTATGAAAGCTCTGAAACCATCTGAGCTGATTTAATAACAGAAAAAGTTTCTGTGCTGAGCAGCAGAGTAAGCCTGTAGCTCAGACCGCTGGTGCACCTTGGCCAGGTAGGCTACACATCATCTATTTTTGTATGCGGATGACACCCAGTTCTATCACATCGATAATATAACCCGGGTTGCCTACATCAGCCTATGTCTCCGTCCATCTCGTCACATCCAGGATTGCTTACTGCAACTCACTTCTCTTTGGTCTCCCCAGCAAATCCCTCCAGAAACTGCTACTTCTCCAGCACGTGTCATCACTAGGACCCCTACATAACATCACAT